TAAATTAACTAATCTATGTACACTGTACAGTGACATATTAAAATGATGAAAAACATACTTGAATACATTTTTTGATTTTGAACGGAGCCATACATTTATTAAAATTATCAAAKATGTAAAGTTGTTTTTTTTCTTTTGTCTGTTGTCATCTTTTGTATCAGTAAACATTTTCCACTTTGAGGATGTAAGTAGTAAATTGTATTTAGTCGGTGCTTTCTCCCTATTAAAATTAATTCATAAACATAAAAATTTAATTTTATCATTTTTTAACTTATCAATAGTTAAATATATTAAAAAGAGTAATAATAATTAGTCTTGAAACATAGATAAACTAACATAAACATAAACTCCTGAGTCTCAATTTATTACTATTTTCCATTCCAATTAAATTCGTTTAAACCATCATATTCCTYATTCTTATAGCAACTAAGATTAAAGTTAGGCTATTGATGATCTATAAAGGCTAATTTAAACATAAATCTTGAAAAATGTTGTTATATAATATAACAGGATATTTTATTATGAAATTCATGAAATCATTGAGCAAGCATAACAATATTAGGGAAATCATATTGATTATTTTATGGTTAAAATAATTTTTCATAYTATGTTTATACAGAAATCAGAATAACAAATAACTAATAAGATTACTGCTACACGAGTATAAAATAATACAATTAAGCACAACAGTTTTAATATTAAATTAGAAATAAAGATTTTATAATTTAGTTAAATTAAATAATTCACGAACATAAAAATTTGAAATGGTTCAATTTTTTAATGATACAATTTACTTTTAAGATTTAAATTATTCCTCAGTGTTTAATATCATAAATATTATAAAATTATCTTTTTAATATWTAATATGTAAGTATCTATATGTTATTTTACGAATTTATTAATAATTTCTATAATATGTGCAAATAATATAATATTCTTTATTTTTCAAAACAAAACTTGATTATACTCGTATTATATTTAATTTTTTTTTTAAATATTCATAAGAAACACATTATTATTTATTGGCATATATAATATCATAATATGTTAGAAATTTTAAGCTATTATYTTTTATCAAAATATAATATTATGTATTAAACTAGTTTGGAGTTGTTTGCGTTCGTATATTTAGGAAGGTACATGCATTTATAGTTGTTTTATAKAAACATTTTTTTTATTTAATGAAACCATTAAAAGATTAAAAATAAAAACATACGTCTTTCCCTGGTTTTATTTTTTTGATTTAAATCATACATTAAGTTTATAAAGTATTATTGTTGTAACGACGTATGTCAAAAACGAGTTTACTGTATTTCACCTGAGTCACACAAAAAAAAGTTTCGAGAATAAAAAATCAGAGGAAAAAATATACAGTTCAACTTTGATAATGAATTTGGTTGACATGTCATGCTGATTTTCATCCATGTTATATAGGTATATATATTTTATATAAATTTGTTTTTTGTTCAATATGTCTGTATTATAGCCTATAGGTACTTATAATGGTTTTATATAAAATTAAACAAATGTATCACTTGATTTAAAAGTTAATTTGACACTTACATAATATAATTGCCTACTTATTTATTCGATTACAGATATTCTGATTCATTTAGCTTTAGAAAACAGTGATAATTAACCATCAAAAATAAAAACATATTTAGTTACTATAAATTATTACACATTTTGTAATTTTTACTCGCCACTGTTGTCTTAATTACAATAGATACATATTGTACAATTTATACCTAATTAACACGAAAAACAAGTGCCTTACTACCTTAACCTTACGCCCAAACAGATTATTCTTATTTTTATTTTAATGTAAAAGCAACCGATTCTAATGCCATGGAAAAATATACATTTTCATTTTGATTAAGATTCTTAGAAATTATTAATATTTAATATGTAATATATTCGTTCAAAAAAGAAGAGATAATTTTAAAAGCGTTTATTAATACAACATATGTTATATATATTTTTGGAGAGTATAATTTAAAAACATTTTTAAAGGGCGTGATTGCGCTATTTATGAGATGGACAAAAATTTAGAGAACCAATATAAGAGAGTCAGAGAGTGTGTTCTATTTTGAACAAAGGTTTATCGTTAAGAAACATTGCTATAACAACGCYTAAATTTCAACGCAAACTAAAATATGTTATCTTAGATTATTACGTCTTGTATACACAATCTAGAAACGTTTTTCTTGATTTTATTGTAAAGCTATTAATTTCCTTCACTTTTTTACAACACTATATGGTGTGCAYAATTCTTAGCCAAGTACAAATATTTCTGTGGATTTGAATTTAATTTATCGATTTATTTATTTCTATTGTAGCTTGTCCCAAAAATTATTATGGAGAAATGTGTTTGCGTAAGTGTATGTGCGATGCGACCACGGAAATATGTAATCATATTAAAGGATGTATAGCATGCAACAGCAGTTCTTCAAGTAAATATGAATATTTACATATCTATAACTGTTTAAAGGATGYGATAAAAATGTGATGTCATAATCTTAGGTGAATTGTATTTTATTCTATACATTATGTGTTTATAARTGAGTGAAATGTGAAGACTGACAATTATTGATGACTAATTGTATGCCTCTTTTGAATTACATTATTTCTTTGATAAACTATTTAATCTACCTACTTCATTTTGAAARATTAGTGAAAATAATTTATAAAAAAAGAGAGGCTAAGTGGTTGTACAGTGTAGGTTATAAGTAGGTCACTCTAATGGATGGTGCTAAATTTGAATTCAATGATATATCTTTGAATAAAAAATACGGTTCTAGGCAGAGACGGTTTGTCCGCATAAGATATTTTGTACGATATTTATATTGTTATTACCTACCTATTACTTCTGTAGTCAGTAGGTTGAATTAATATTCCTTGCATACTTTCATATTTCCATATGTGTATATAACAATATATTTTAAAAGTTCCAAGTACCTAGCCGCAAATAATAGTTTTGTATTTCAACAATTATACTAATATTGTTTTAAGATTTTATTTCCAGTTATTTAATATGTTATTTTAATAAGAGTTTCAACTTAAAATAATTGTGTTAAAAACTATGTTATACATTTTTATATTTATTTGCTAAAGAATGAACTATTTACGTGAAACCTTGTTTTAAATTCCCAAACCWTAGCTATTAAGTAAAACTTTCTATAAACGTTTAACAAATAAATAATAAAAACATTTTTCAAAATTTGAACTTTAAATGATTAAAAAAGTGATGCCTATGTATTTTTAATATATTTTAACTACTATCATAACAATATGTCAGGAACTTTTTGAACTAACAAATACAATTTTATTGAGATTTAAAGAAAAAAAAAAATTAAAACTGAAATTATCAGATAACAGCTCAAAATAAGTAAAATTATTTTGAAAATTTATCAAGTATAGTAAATGATAAAAGAAACATTTGGTGGTTTTAATTACTCCTAAATAGATAAATCATTCTATCAGAAATSAAGGGAATATACAATGTTTCAATGTTTAAAAATTAACTTCAAATAACATTCATAAAAATTTAATTTGACTTTCCAGTACAACTTTTTATTTTTTTGATAGTGGTAGACAAACTTATGAGGAATCTTATATTGAATTTTTAAATCKSMGATTTAAAAACAAACAGTTTTATGAATTTCTAACTCACAATATTTTGAAAAATGAAAGTCATATATTATATTACATTCATTACGTTCTGGTACATTGAC